GTTTTTAATTTAATAGAAAAATAGCAAAATAGAGCTGTTCAGAATTATTCAGGGTAGAAACTATGGAATATTTATGTTCTGACATGATGAATTAGGATGAGAATTTGTGAATAATTAAATAATTTATTTCATTTGAGCATTAAAATAATGCAACATTCTCAAAATGGCAACTAATTCCATGGAGCATCCACTGTTAATCACAAAATGCATGGAAAAGCTGTACAAGTTCACTAGTATATGTCTTTGTATCTCCTTTGTGAAGGAGAACTCTTGCTGTGAATAAGTGTTCTTTACCGTACATTTTCATTGCTGTCTGGTCTGATTTTAAATGTTTCAAACAATTGAACATCTCCAATGTAATAAGGCATATTACACAGCGTAGTAAGTCTCACTGTCAGAAAGTGTTACCTGTTAAAATTTTGCTTTCTTAATTAATCACATTCCTAGTTTCTTATTTTATATTTCTTTAAGTAATTCCCTCCATCTTTGTTGCCTGAATTTGTCAACTGTTTAAATAGTTGTTTACACAAGTATTTGATTATAAAATCAGTTATTTTATTTCAAAATACATATGATATTTGTAGATTTAGACCAGTATCATTATCAGCCAACCAATATGTATATATTATACAAGCAAGATTATACATAGTTTCCTTTTCAACATTTCTTATTAAATGAAATATTAAAAAATTGTTATTGCTGAAATACCAAGAGATTGTTATTGCCTTATAGAAAACTTTGGAAAATAATTAAAAAATAATTTTTAATACGTTGTCTATATTCATTGTTAATTGCTTATCAGAACCCAAAAAGATTAAAAGGTACTGTGTCTCTGATAAAATTTCTGGGAATAGCTACATGGGTAGAGGACTCACTAATTACAAGTAAGCTACAAGAAGAAAGCACCTCTGAATAATATTTGAAAAACCCTGTAATTTTTTGTTTAACTGTAGCAATTTTCCTTTTTACTCCAGTGCCAGACATTTATGTGCATAAAAGTGAAGTCCATGCTCTAGCTTAAATGTGCAGAGACCCTCCCAATTCTTGTTGCCTATCTCTCTACGTCTTGCTGAAGTGCAGGCACAAGAGCAGGTTCAACATTTGTCCTGTTCTCAGGAAAAACCATGCTTAGAATATGCACTGATGGACTGGATACCGTGTGCTTGGCCCTCCATATACCTAGTTAATTCCTGTCCTGATGGCTTGTGGTGTTCTAAGGCTTAGTATTGGGACTTGACTTTCTTCTTGTTAGTGACTCAAACCCAAGTAAGGTTTAACATGGGTGGCAGGAAAACTTGGGATTGAGTGCAAATTCGAATCATGTTTGACTGACAGTGCATCTAAAACTATCAAAGCCTGTTTACTTCTCTTACACTGTGTTTAAAGTTTTTGCCAGAGAAAAGCCGGTGCTATGTGCCAAACTCCACGCTGAAGGAAGACAACTAGTTACCCTGGGGAATACTCTAGTTGCATTATTATCTGTCCTTATCAACATAAAAGAGCACAAGCACCTTTCTTATTCCAGAAGACCATGATAGCTAGGGCATCTACTAAAATCCATGGAAAACATGGGTTTCTCCATCAGAGGCTAAGACACGTTAGGAATAATCTTTGACACACAACTGTTCCTGGTGTTATGATAATGTAGAAGAACCTAAATAATATAATAACCGAATTAATCAGGGGTTTCTGAATAAGATTTGCTAGAGCATCAGAAGTGGTAATCGTCTGCCTGGGTGCATTTTTCACACCTGAGTTTTAGAGCACTAGACAATCCTGGACTAGGACTAGCATACCTCCAGCCTGTCTAAGCTGCTCTGAATAGCAGCCTGAGCCTTGAAAGTATTGAATGGTAGACCCAAATTGGTATAATCTGAAAACTTAGTGAGCAAGCATTCTGCCACCTCGTCCAAGTAATTGATAAAGTTGTTGAAAAGGACCAGTGACAAAACAACTGCAGTGCTTATTACTGGCCTCCATACAATACATTAGTATCTACCTTCCAAGCCTGACTATCCAGGCAGTTTATTTTTTATACTTAGCTGTTTGTTCACTTTTCATGGCTGTAATCTCCTAACTAGGGTTCAAGGATATTGTGGGAGAGAGAGTCAAAAGCCTTGGTGAAATCAGGGTAAATGATATCTCATGCCCTCCCTAACTTCAGACATTTTATCATAGAAGGTAATCCCATTGGTCAGGCATCATTCACCCTTAGTAAATCCATGGCCTCCCTTTTTGAACACAAGTGCAACACTAGCACACCCACAGTCATCGAGGATTTCCCCAGTCTCCAAAACCTGTCAAACATTGCAGAGGGTGACTTTGCAACAGAATCAGACAGTTCTCTCTGCACCTATGGACGCAGACCACCTTGTTGCCATTTGCTCTTTGTAATTCTTAACTGAGGCTGAGTTTTGGCTTTCCTGGACAGAGGCCTGACACATTTCCTGGCCCAGACAATGTTTCTAAATTTCTTCTTTGTAGACTGTCTTTGCTTCCAACTCTTCTATACCCTGAGATCAGCTCAGCTGGTTAGAGCATGATGCTAATAACACCAAGGTTGTGGGGTCAGTCCCTCTACAGGCCATTCACTCGAGTTGAACTCTATGATGCTTCCCTTCCAACTCAGAATATTCTCTAATACTGCTTTTTGCATTGAAGCCCCATCACAAGTAACCTGCCTAGCTAAGCCAGGCTACTTATCTTCCTGAATATCAGGACAGATCATTCCTACATTTGGAAGATACTGTCCTTAAATTTCATCAAGCTTTTCTGATTAATTTATGAGATCTGGGTCCCATGGGATCCCACAAGTAGCAGAGCCAGCTGTGTGCCACCTTTAACTGTCCTATTGAGAAACTACTACTGACACCTTCTAGAAATCTTCACTGTTTCGATCCTGCCATGCTTGTCCTTTCAGCAAACATGAGAGACATTAAAGTTCCCCTCTTTCAAACTTACCGGACCCTTCAGAATTTTCCACAGGACTTCTGACATCCTCACCTTGTTGTAGCCCTAAATCCCTTATGATTCTCAGTTTCTAAACTTTTACAGCTAGCAGTCCCCTTTAGTTCTCAGAAAGCTTCATTATGTTAAGAACAGAATGTGGAATTTCCATTACAAATGCAAAATTCAACAAGCTCAAGGCATAATTATTTGATTCTTTTTTCTCTGAAACAACCGAATATAATGAATTCACAGGTTTCTTCTCTCACTTGCACAAAAAAACTTGAGACTCTGTCCCCCTGAACTCCGAGAGAGAAAAGGAAAAGAACAATGAGAGATATCTAATACCTGTGAATCAATGTGCACAATTTGGAGATGCTCATATGTTTTGTAATTGGGGCAGTATGAGAAAAAGAATATATTCTCTGTTCAGGTTCTTCTCTTTTAGTCTAGATTTTATGAAATGGAATGAAATTCTCTTTAACTTATCTTCATTCAATGCTAAAGGCCTCTCAAACAATGGGGTTTAGAAAATTTTCTGTCTTTTATCATTCTTCCAAATTCCTACAAGGAGATCAAAATCTATTCCTCTTGCAGCACATCTGCGTCTGGTTCATGTTCTCCTTTATCAGCTTAGCTTCTTGGCTAGTATTTATCAAACTGTCTGATTTTTTTGGGTTTCAGATGGGACATGTGTGCATAGATTAATTCTAGGCCAGAGCTTGTTGAAGCTCTGTTTATAATTTCATCATTATTTTAATTTGGATATAGACATAGCATGTTATTTTTGTATACTGTAAGTTATTATTTAATGAAAGATTTAAGGATGCTTTACAGAAAAAGAGAACAATTTTCATACTATAAAAGAAACTTCAATGTCAAAATAAGAAGTTGGTCAACTTTGAGTAGGCTAATGAAAGGGCTGTGCTATAGAACCAGGTTGATCAATCATTAAAGCACAATACTGAAAAAGTGTTTTCCTAATTATACTTCTAGACTTTGAACATGCAGTTAACATCTACACTCAGACTTAGCAGCTAGCAGTGCTCCTCTATGATTGTCTGGGTACCTTCAGAATTAATTCTTGTATTGACAGATGTAGTTATTAAAACAATACTCAGTAAAAAGTTCTCAAGGATGTTCATAATGGTGTCATGTACTTTTTCTGAGGATTGTGACATACACGTGTACTTTGCACAAATGTATTTATAGCTGATATTTACCTGAAACTTAGTTATTTCCCTAGAACTGGTCTTCATTTAGTGACAGAAGTGTAATAACAATAGATAATGGAAACTTTAGCTAGTTTCTTCAATAGCCAGGGCAGAATGTAGAAATTTATTATTATTGTTTTTCTTGTAACAAGTCTACTCAAATCATCTATGTATCACAACTGCATGTTGGGAACAAATTAGCTTAGCTTCAATATTCACTGATGCATTTTACTGCATAACTAAAGCCATATTTTGCAGACTTCTAAAACTTATCCTTTAACCTACTACATGCAAAATTATATTATATGACAGTGGAAAGCTATGAAATTTATTTCCGAATTATATAGCTGCTTAGCTTCAAGTGTGATGTAGTGATAATTACTTCTGAGTTGTAATTAACTGGGCAAATAAATTGTTAAATTTTAGATGCTGATAAATAGGAGAAGCTAAATAACCATAAACTGTCTGCAATATTTTAACACTAAGGAATTCTGTATAAGATAAAATTACAGCAAACACGTTTATAAAATATCAACTAAGCAGAGACTATTAGACAGCAGTAAAACACATTCTCATAGAATGGTTAGAATTCATTGCAATATAAGGTATCAACAACCTCAGTATTTCAAAAATTATTGTCAGTACAGAAATTACATATGAGGAAATTTGTTCAAAGACAGATATTTCTGAAATACAAAGTACAAATCACAGTTGAGAAAAAAGAAAAATGAAACATCTATTACATACAGAGAAGCTGATGTACATACAAAATAGGTGAAGTGGTGAGGCAGGGAAAGGAAGAGAAAATGAGAAGAATGGAAAATTAAAAAGAACACTTACTGGGGAAAACCACATCACTTTAAGAATCCAAATTGTCAAAGAAAAATTCACAACTAGGATGATAAGCAGGAGGAGAACAAACAGGTAGAGGCAACGCTTTCTCCAGCCATAAATTCCAATTTTGTAGACATATTCATTCTTCGGCCTCTCTAGGCTAGTGCCTGGTGTTGTCGTAGTGTATTGTTCACGTACCATCTGCTATGTAAAGGAAAAAAAAAGGACTGCTTAGTTTCTTGATTTAAATGAAAATATTTGTATAATACTCCAAGGAAATATGAAGATATAATTGTAATAGCAAGTTACTAGAAACTAGAAACTTGTATGAAGTTTTACCCGGAAAGCATTTTCATCATGTTCCACTCAAATTACATCTTGGTTTTTTGGTACACACAACCTGATGTTTTAATATATTAACTGCATCAACTGCTGTTTTAAGGAGGCTTAAATCCTATAAAGAATGGCAACACTTTCCTCCCATTTGTCATAATATTCTAATTCTTCCATCACAAAATATTTCAAGGGATTGTATCATAATCTGTGGCTCATAGAACAATATTATTTTACTGTAAAAATAGTTACAAGTGGTAACAGTACCTTGGAAACACATGTTCAAAAAGACTTCTCCATACTCTATCCTTGACTCTAATAAAATGCATTCTCTGTGTTGCCAAACTTAACTGTGTATCAGTTAGAATGCCAGTATATATTAAGCTTCAGAATATGTATGTAAAGAAATGAAATGGTTCTTAGCAACGTACAAGAAATAATGATTTCTCAATTCATCAGATATTCTTATTTAAAGATATATCAACAATAAAAACATTACTTACTGGATTTAAACAACTTCACTTTATACTATAGTTCTTAAAGAAGCATTCTTTGAATTTAAAGGAATCTTAAAAGATTGCATTTTCTTAAAACATGAGTATACTTACTAAGTTCCACCTTTACAGCACAGAGATCACCAACAATTCAAAACACTCATTAAAGCTTACGGTTTCAGCCAAAAGAATAAAAACTCAGCAGCTGAAGCTGCTTATCAAGAAAAACACTGGGCAATATCTGCTAATTCACACTGATAGAAAGCAAAAAAAAAGCCCAATCCAGTCATGGATGTCAAAAAGAACATAGGTACTGTAAGATCAAGCCCTTCTCATGAGCCAGGTATGTCCACAGGCATCTTACATCCAAAACCTGGTCCACTTTACTACAATAAAATGCTCCCAAATGAAAGTGCCTTCAGAAAGGTTTCATACAAGGTCTCCTCTCAAGTCTGAATTTCCTCCTATCAATGAGATCACCATGCTCTGCTCACACAACTTTCAAAATATGATCAAATTACATCCTTGCTCAGCTGCTGAATTACTTTAAGTTACAGAAGCTCTTTTCAAGTTTTCTGTAGAGCCATTCTGTATCTGTAACAAGCTTGTGGCTCTCAGTTCTAACCCTCATTTTAAAAGATGTCATCTTTTGTTCCTGTAGCTTCGTAGCAAGACAGAGATTGCAATGTAAGTTTACAATTGAACAGAAGTTCATGTATTATCTCTTTATATATATCTGCAGTAGTCATCTTATTTCTGCACTTCCACTAAAAGAAATAATTTAATTTGCTGTTTATTTGCATTCAAAAACTAGACAAAATCATTGGCAGTTCATAATGTAACTTTGCTACAGGCATTATAGTACAATAATGTACAAGATATTGTAATTAATTTTTTCTGTTACCAGTCTCAGTTGCTCGTGGATTGTCTATATAAATCTTTTCATTGCTGTAAACAGTATAATGATTTAATAGTGAAGAGTCATAGGTTCTGAAATAACTTGGCTTAATATTACTGCAAAACATTGTAGTTTTACAAGATGTTACTTAATATTCACCACTTGAACTGTGTTTGTTTAAAACAGATTTTGTATTTCAGCTCTGGGTATTACTCAAGCACATAGTACTGATTACAGAATACAGCATAAACTTGAGATGATACTATTTTTTTTTGTTTTCCTTGTAATTGTTGTATCATAAACCATATTACTCACATAGAAGTTGACCCTTATCTTAAACCTCCGTTACCATGCTCTGCCATGAGATATTGGGATATTTATACATACAATGCTTAGACAAACTTTTACTCTTACTTCCACACAGACCTCTTCTCAACACATAACTTAACACCTGTTAACTGTTACCTGGTAACACCAAGAGATATACTTTGAGAAATAACCTGTGCAGTTCTTGCTCATGTATAGTACAACTATGTCCTGGTTCTGGCCAATTTTTGCAGTATCCAGGAGGGGCATGGTTAGGACCCTGAGGTTATCCTATACCACCTCACATCATTGCCAGTGGTGGCAAGGAGGGGAGACAGGGTCATGCTGCGCATGCTGCGCACAGGGTATTGCTGGTTTCCCCGTGGTGAGCACTTGCATGTGGATCGTTCATCTTTCCTGTACACTGTTACAAGTATTATTGCTGTTAGTGTTAGTTTCTTGTCTCATTCTTGTTTCTAGTAAATTGTTCTTATCTCAATTCATGATTTTTACCTTTTGTACCTCCAGTTCTCCTCTCCAGCCTGCTGCAAGGGGAGGAGGAGAGGGAGTGAGCAAGCAGTGCGTGGTTTGAGTGTATCAGTGGGAACACTAAACTGGAGAATACCATTCCTAAACCATGACAAATTACATATACCCAGCTTCTTACTGTTTTCTTCACTACACATACTTGTGTTAAGTGTCATTTGAACAAAAAATAAGATAGATGACAGCTACAGAAATTTCTGTAGTAAGAGAAGCCCTCATCACAAGACAGACTGCTTTGCCTCTTCCCTTGTGTTGCTGTTTCTTACATCTTCAAGGTAAATTTTGCAGTAGAAGCACCATTTGCCAAAGAATTTGCCAATTTATTTTCACGTCTTCCAGTTTTATGCAGTCTCATCACAATGGTCTCTAACACTGGAATTCATCTCACAATTCAGCATTGAATATCTGAGCCAGTCAACCTGGGGACTCCCTTTATGGTCAATGGAGATAGATAAACCTGCTGGGAATTATTTGTCTGATTTATTTTAGAGGTGAATTTTAGACATGCAATGAACTGCACCTTCGATGGGTTTAACTTCTCTTCATCAAAAGAGAAAGAAAGCAAGCATGGGATGACTTTGTCATATGTATATACCTGCATGTTTTAGACATTTCAATCAGAACGATTTCCAGAAGCATGTAATTTAACAATAAGATAGGATTCCTGTTCTTCTCTGTTCCATTTTTACACTGTTGTAAAATGTTTATTTTGTGAGTTGAGGGTTTTAAACATAATGCATTATGTACTGCTGCTTAATGAGGTGAGGTCAAAATCCATTACACATTTTACCAAAAAGCCTATGAGTTTTGCAATTGTCTTCAGCCCTTGAGAAATTCCACAGGGGACATCTCCCAGCACAGCATCGTTCCCTGCATGAATTATTTTTTCCTAACAGAAAACAGTTCTGCTGTTCCTGAGCATTATTAATACTGCCAAAAATTGCTTTGGTCCTAGTAAATGGGCAATGCTGGCCTAGACAACTGAATACTTTGAAAAGGATTAAGCTTTTCTCCTTAATATAATATTTCATGATTTTTAAGAGAATTAGTGGCCCAATAACAAGTAATTACAGCAGAAATCCTATAAGAATTGATGCCGTTGGACTGCTTCTTTTGGGAGAATCAGCTTTCCACATTACTGACTTACATGTTCACGAGCTGAAATCACACAGGAAAATAATCTCAGACCTGTCTGGAGAAGTCAGAGAGAAATAATTTTATATGTTTGGGATGTTTTACAAAGCTGGGCTGAAAGGAAAGCCTTAGATAGTCAGATCTCATAGTTGGCTTGTGAAGTCTGCCAGGATTCAAGACAAACTCTCAGAACAAAAACAACAGATATTTAGCACTACGATGAAAAATGTGATTTGTAAATGGAAGAACCTTGAAACTGTAAGTTAGCTGTGCAGGAGCAAAGTAAACACATGCCAAGAAGGAAGTGGCTACTTAGACACCTCGATGTACACAAGTTAGTTGAAGAAGCAAGAAATCTGCAGTATGAACAATGACTTTAGTAACTGGCACCTTTAGATTATTTTACAAGGAAGCAGCCCACAGTGACTAAGAGTAAGAACAGTACTGAAAACTTACAGTGAAGATAAAATAGCAATTTAGTTTCAGAATGAAAATTCTTACACCTTTCAAATGGGCCATGAAAACATCTTATTTGCATCAGGCTAGCAGTACCACAATAAACAAAAGTCTGCTACTTCATTGGAAGAGGAATTTCTTGTTGTTTCTATTCAAGGGCCCCCACAATCAGAAGTCAAATAAGATTAAGGTCAATGGAATTGAGTTCTATCATGATAGTTTGCTATTTAAAAGTATTTTCTAATTGTCATAATCAATTTTACTGGAATCCATTTAAATCCAATTACTTCTTGCCTCTTTGCTGATTTAAACCAGATACTGAATGCTAATTAGCTGTCAAAAGATTTGTTAAAGATTTTAAATGATAGATAAAACTATTAAATTAGTACACTGTAGGTGTTGAGACCACGTGAGATTTCTCATGTGTTCAGGCATTACTTGTATGTATTGTATGTAAGGCACAAAATTCATGCCTATAGTAATACATATAAGCCACTGATGAAAGAGTTGTATGTTCTTTACATTGTGCTATTAAAGCTGCCCTCTAAAAATATGTAGCCATGATAGTACATTTCCTCAGCTCTATTCCACCCTTTTTCACACAAGACCTAGAAACTGGCCTGTGTCATTTGCATGAATTAGAGGTCCAGGAGATTTTTTTTAATTAATACTGAGATATTGAAAAACTGCCCATCAATGATGTTACTGTTGGACGTAGCTTAGGTCGGGCATCAAGTTCAAACAGCGATTCTGATAGCTCTGGAATATTCATTTAAGGTAGCTTTGTTTTGAAAAAGGAATTTGCAAACTTATCTGTAAGCCTGTTTGGGAAAGCAGGCCTGAGTAGAAGCTTGTTAATCATATTTTCAGGAATGACTTATTTGTAGGAAATACTGAAGACCGAATACTATTTCAATTAAAATAAGCAATCTAAGTTTAATTCAACTGTAAAAATATGTTTTCACCATTTTTGTTCATAAACTGTTATATTATTTTCATGAACTTTAATAAAATTCTCCTTAATACACAGTTCAGAA